GTACTACCTTTAAGACTTCATTTCACCTTAATTACCTCATTATGGACCCCTTCTCCAAATAAACCCCATTGGGCATTAGGGCCTCAACATACAAATTGGGGAAACACAATTCAGTTCATAGCACCGACTACTGGAACTTGACTTCTGAGAGACTGCCGTCTTGGTTCTGCATCTACCTCTGTGGCTACTCCTTTTGGGTCTCCTTTGCTGGGTTATCCTGTATTTCTTAATATCTAAACATTGGAGAGTTCCAGAGTTTAGATCTCAAGCCTATTCTCATTTCCCAAGTGATTTCATGCCCTCCCGTGGCTTTCAATACCATTTCATCCGCCCTTGGTTCTACAGAATTGTATTCAAACTGCCCAGATGATATTTCTATTTAGATGTCTCATGAATACTGTAGAGGCAACATGCTGTCTGATATCACTTTAATTCATGATAACCAAACTCAGATAGGTCTTTAGTGCTCTTGGCTGCCCTATTATATTTCTTTGATAATTCCTGTTCTTTAGTCCTGGATAACAATTTCATGTCGTCTCTCCTCATATCTCTGCTACTTCTATCCTCTCTTTTAGCCAATACTCCTACCTTTTATTTCATTGAGAAATTAAAAGTCACAAAGAACTTTCACCATCACAACCCACCTAATAGTATCTCTATCATTTCCTCTGCCTTCTCTCCTGTTTCTATGGATGAATCATCCCTGCTACAGTCTAAAGCTAATCACTACATAACAGGGTCCAGCAGAAGTAAGGCCTCCTGCGTGAGTGTGGTTGGTAGGGTAATAATATGGGTGTAAAAATTATAGTTTTAATTTGAACACTTAACCTAAAATGTCATACAGTATGCTTGAGTGTGATATTGTTATGTTACAGAATAACATGTTATGATTTTGTAATAAAAAGGGGTGTTATTTGTGCCAGACCCTGCAGTACTGTTCCATCACTGCTGTAACAAGTTAACACAAACTTTATTAGTTCAAGGAAGGATCTGTAGGTGGACTGGGCTATGTACCCTGCCTAGAGTCTCATGAGACTGAAAACAAGGTGTCAGTGGGGCTGTGTTCTTTTCTTGAGGCTCTGGGGAAGAATCCAAGATCATCCAGGTTCTTGGCAGAATCCAATACCTTGTAGCTGTAGGACTAAGGTGCCTGTTTTTTTTCTGCCTGGGGGCAGCTGTTCTCTACTGGAGGCCTCTCTCTGGTCCTTGTGCATGGGTCCTGCATCTCAGAGACAGACACAGTGTGTTGCATGCTTCTGATATTTGGAATTTCTCTCACGTTTGCTGCTGCTGCATCTCTCTTCTGCTTTTAAAGGCTCATATGATCAGATTGAGCACGCCCAGATAATCTGGGACAGTCTCCCTCACCTAAGGTACACAATCGCAATTATATCTGTTAATTCCCATTTGCCATGTCATATAATAAATTCACAGATTTCACAGATTTCAGGGATTAGAGCATGGACATATTTGGAGGGTCATTCTGCCTATCACACATTCCATTTGTGCTCCAACAATTTTCTCCTCCCTCTTCTGCATCACTAACTATTCCTCTGTCAGTGTACAAAATGCTGATGTTTCTCCCACGTTAACAATGCTCCCTTGATTCCACTTTCCCTTCCAATTAATGTCCCATTTCCCTTCTCTCTTTGGGGGAAAAACACCTTGGAAGAATTTCCTCCACTACCTGTTCCCAATTCTTCTCCTTCCATTCTTAGTTGATTTTTCATCCCCCCCCCCCCGCCTTTTTTTAACTATTGGGTATTGGGTACAAACCCAATTTTGAAAAGGGCATGAATGATTGTACATTCCAAATTTAAGAGTCAATTTAACTTTCATTTGACAAAGCTGATCATTGAAAATTTCATTTAACTTCCATGATATCACCCACTTGGGGTTTTTCTTACCTCTTGGAAGCTCTTTCTTAGTTACCTTCACTGGTTTTTCCTCATATTTGTGACTACTTAATCTGGCCCGCCTGGAGCTTTTCCATTTGTACCCATTCTTTTGATAATCTCATTCAGTCTCATGGCTTTAAATACCATGCATATACAGTGACTTCCAAATTTATATCCATAGTCCAAAACTGTTCCTTGAACTCCAAGCTTGTATATTCAACTACCTACTAAACATTTCCATGTAGATATCTTATAGGCAAAGGTAACATGTCCACTGTCAAACTCTTTATCTTCCCCAGAAAACCTGTTCTTCCCTCTGTCTCTTGGTCAATGCCAGCTCCATTCTTCTGTTTGATAGAACCCCACATTTTGGAAATGTTATTGCTCCCTCTCACTAATCTCCCTCCCTTATACCTAGCATCCAATTAACATTGCCCATTCTATTGTTTCTAGTCCTATTTGTTCCAAATCCTATTGTTTCTAACACCAGGATATAATCAGAAGCCAGTCACTTCTAGCCACCCTCAGCAGAACCATCCTTGTGAACACCACCATGAGCTCTGGCTTGTTTTATTGCAGCATATCCTTTATTAGTTCTCCTTCTTCCACTCTGCCCTCCATACAGTGATCTTGTTTAAAATGTGAGTCAGATCACCTCACTTCTCTAATTTAAAACCCTATTTCTTTCTGAGTAAAAGTCCTACATATTCTGCCCCTCTCGATACATTGCCCTCTCCCACTACTTACCAGCCACCCGCCTCAGAGCTTTGTACTTGACGTGCTTGATGAGCACCCTGTGATGCTCTTCCCTGCTTCGTGCCTCATCAACTTCAAGTCTTGTTCCCATATCACCTTTGCAGTGAGACTTTCCCTGGGTACCCAATTTCAAATTGCAAGCTCCAATCTGACCAGTAACCCTTCCCTGTGTTATTTTTTTTCTCCACGATATTGTCATTATTAAGTATTCTGTATAAATTTTTAATGTATTCTTATGGTCTTTCTCCCCTTAGAAGAATCAGAATTTCACAAGGGCATGGGTATTCGTTTTTTTAATTGCATTGTCTGCTGCACTGGAGACCAGCACCTGGTACAGAGTAGACAATCAATGAGTGTTTGTTGCTGTTGCATGAAGGTCCAGATTCTCCCATTCTTTCACCTCAAAACCACGTTCTTCTCCCAGTTTTCCCCATAGCAATAAGTGGCAATTCTAGTCTAGCTGAGTCAGGCCAGGACCCTGGGAATTATATTTACTCCTCTCTTTCTCTCAAACCTCACATATTGAAGCCCTGCTTATTCTGTTTGCACACACACATACCTCCGGTATCTAGCCCTCTTACCTTCTCCATTGCTTTCACCCAAGTTCAAGTCATTATTGCAATGGCCTCATTATTGGTCCCCCTGCTTCTGTCTGCTCTTGCTGCTCTAGAGTCTGTTTTCCACACGGAGGAGAGAGGAAATCCCTTTAGAATTTATGTCAGATCATAAGCATTCCTTAATTCAAAACATGCTGATGGATTTTTCATCTCAGAATAAAGTCTAAAGCCTTTACGTGGCCTTTAGATACTTCCTGATAATTGTCCCAGGCATATCTCCTTAAATCCATTTCTTCCCTTTGTTCACTCCCTTCCAGCTTCTTTATCTCCCTTATTGTCCCTTGAGTATGGCAAACATTCCCCTTCCTCAGCCCTTTATGCTACTGTCTCTGCATGGAATTCAGAGACACCCCTGGCTTCACTCCATCCAGGCCCCTGCACAAAGCCGCTCCGTCGGAGCGCGTCTCTCATCATCACACCTCAAACAGCAAACACACACAACACACACATACTCTGCTGTGTGCCCTCTTTTATTTTGAAGCCCTTATTAACAACCAGCATTATATAGTTACTTACTTTTACTGCCTGTCTTCCCCCTCACTGAAGATATAAACTACATGAAAGCAGATACTGTTTTGTTCACTGCTGTACCTTCACCGTCAAAGATGAACTCCCACAACTATAGGTTTGCTTAACCTGAGTACGTAAGATCTTAGAGAGATATAAATACCTCCATTCTCCAAGAATCAGTATTAGTATTTGAAAAAGGACTCTGGCTTTTTTTAGTTTTGTGCCTACCCTTAAACTTCTTCTGTGTCTACAGCAATGGAGAAATCTGATTGGCCAGTCTGGGTCACATGCCCCTTACAGTTATGTTGTGGGAAGTGGAGGTTGTGGAGAAGGCTGTGCAATCCATAGATTGAGGAAGGAAAGTTTCCAGGAAAAAAAAAAAAAAGAGGTTCTGTTAGCAAATGGGGTTGGGGGAGAAGGGAGAGGTTCTGGGGGAGGCAGAAACAACAGATGGCCGTCACTGAGCCTTTCCAGAGTGGGAAGAGAACGGCAGGGATAAGCTAGGGCCCCTGGAAGAGAAAGTACCCTTAAATAACTGTGCCTTCACACCCTTTGGGAGAACATGCTGACAGCCCAGGCGTGCCTGCATGGCATTATCGTGCCCTGCTTCTTGAATGACTCCCTGTGAGGAGTACAGGAGGGATCTCCCCAGCATGAATAATCCTGACACTTCACCACAGAAGCTGGAGGAAAGATAGAAAAGCAGGGATCAGCAGCAGCATAAGCATGGGTTCAATTTTTCACCGCATAGAATATTGTTCATCAGCTTGTTTGTGCAATTCTGCACCCATGGCTATAAGGATTAAGTAACAACTCATTTTTAGGTAAGGGGAAAAATGAATTAGTTCAAAAAGCAGCAACAGTGTGAAGTAAGCATATGTACATACACTCACATTTGTAAAAAAAATAATAAATCTTGCTGCTATTGTTTAGCTCAGGGGATTTTGTCTATTTTTTGGTTTTAGTTTTTGTGTTTTTGATACACCTCATCACAAGGTATTTTAAATTTTTAAAATGTATTTCTCAATATAGAGAATGTTTCTTGGGTTCTCCTAAGAGTGGGGTGCCCAGCTAACCACGGGCACACACACATTCTTCCCATAGTACAGTACTTTAAAATTAATAGCACATGCAGAGGAAAAACTAAACCCTTTGACGTCACTCTTGAAATGAGGAAACATAAACAGAAAAGGCTCCACTCCAGTGAGCTGCCAGAGTTGAAGCCGATTGGTCTCTGCTTTTCCTAGCCTGTGGCAACTGACAGCACCTCCCAGCGTAGCAGGCCGGCTGCCTGCTCCCCCAGCCAGTCGGTGGGTCTGGGCACTGCAGCAGGCTCGGCTGTGTCCCAGCACTTGCCTGGGAGAAAAGTGTGTACTCACCCAGAGAGAATCTCTTTCTATCTTCCTTCCCGATCTCTCTGTGCGTGTTTCTTTTTTTTTTTCTTTTTTTTTTCTTTTTTTTTTTTTTACTTAATTATATTCCTAATCCTGGATGAAGTTGCTGGATCCTGCAGCACAAGTCTTCATGAACAAACAGCACCGCTCAGAGATTTCACGGCATTCAAAGGTCACAGAACTGCCACTATGGTTAAATGTCTTGTTTAATGGTTGAGGTAGGTACAACAAATTTAAGCGGCAAGCTCATTTTTCTTTGAGAGAACAGAATCACAGAGAGATGGCAGGAGTTTTATTTAAAGTGAACCTGTACATATATATTTTTTGGTCTGTGATTGTTACTACAGTAATCAGCTTTTGAATTTCCTTCCTTTTTCTAGGCGAACTGACTAAACATTATCACTTACCCTGAATTAACTGTTTCATTCCAACAAGCCTAATGACAGACTCAGGCATTTTCACTGTACTTTGAGTCCCCACTGAGGAGGGCTGCTTTCTTCTCTTTTTCTTTTCTTTCTTTCTTGTTCTTTTTTTTAAATGAATGCAATATTTCTTTTCCAGGGTAAATCTTAGAGTTGAATCATTTTTCTTTTTGGTGAGACAGGAATGGAAAATATTGGTAAAGAGATTAGTGGGGTTTGTGGAACAGGAAAAAAGCAAATCAGTGTTTTTCTTGAGTTTGTCGTGTTGGTTGATAGCAGACTTGAAGATAAAATTAGTAGGAAGAGAGGAAAAAGCTGGTAATGAGACTGAAGGTAGAAAAATCTATAGAAGGTGTTTCAGAAAAATGAATTATTGAGGAAAATGCACTTTACCGCCTTGTTGAATTAAAAAAAAAATGTTCTGGAAGTAGAAGTCAATAGTGAAGATGCAGGCACTGAGTTATATGATCAATGATTCAGAGCCTGTTATTTACAAAGAGAAATAAAAACTTTATTAGCACGGCAAATTTGTTGATTCTCTTTTTCTTTATAATAGTTGAAATCAGAGTGAGATATTTAATTAGGGATTTAAATGATTGAGCCTGGGGACTTTTTAATCATCTGTAAATGCCAGACTGACTATTAAAGCGTTAGAGTGAATCTCTGTGCACCGGAAGGCAGGCATATGCATTCATATATAGTAAGCACACTAAATGCTGCAGGAAGCAGGGCAATGAAACATAGAGCTAATGTTGTTTTCAACGGCACATTATTATTATGTGTCAAGGGGGACCCCTGCTAAAAAACATTCCTACCCAGAGTCAATTTTTGCAAAAGCAATTAAAATAATATATGGTTAACATGGATTTCCTTATTACCCTTCTCAAAGTTATGCAAGAGCAAGTAAGACAGGCTTATGTGAAACCATTACTCTGTTTCCAAAATCTATCACTTGATTTTTTTTTTTAAAGCTTCCTATTCTCAACGTTGAGAAACAGAAATTTTAAAAACTGGGTCATGTTAGCAGTCATATTAAGCAAGGTATCAAATGCACAGTGCATTTCAAAGGGTTAACAAAATTAACTGCATAAGACTGTAATGTACCAAATTAAGAACTGCAAAAATATTAGCTCTGAAATGCAGAGGATGTGCTGTGAATGGACAATTGCTTTTTTGCAGTGCCTAGTGGGAAAACAAGGACTTTGTGTGTTGCAAATGCCTAACTGCAGCTCCTCCATTTCCTCTGCTTTATCTTTTATTACTGGCTGGTGAAACAAAGACGGGTGTCAGTAGTCAAGTCTTGATTGACATTTTCTCTAATAAAATGAAGTTGCTTTTTGTCTCAAGTGGGAGCCCAGAGTTAACTAGTTACAATTCCAAAGGCTGTATCCTCTTTGCAAGGCTATTTACCTGACACTGTAAGCTGTCCCATTTCAGGGTGTACTGACTCAGTTGAACAACATGAGACAAAAATCACTGGTGACTACAAGCCAGCCAATTAGCTGAGAGAAACTCTTTTTTTTAATTAAATTACTTAGGGCAAGGGTAGAAAATCCAAGCTGTATCGGGAACAGACATCAATTTAGGGAAAATAATTGCACCAGTACTTCTTTTAATGCCTTAAATGGTGCTCAGCACAAAGCGACCCATTGTCAGTTCTCAATAAATACCTAGTTACAATGTTTGCTGAGAATTTACTACCCTTCATATATTGTAAGGTATTGAAATGATTTTTAAATATGGCATTTTCAACTGCTGAAGACTGTTTTTAGTGTTAGTCCATCCTAAAATATGGTCTAGAGATCACATCAACGGTGGTGGAGGTGGTGGTGGGGAATTCCCAATGTTGACTCACGTTATATTCAGCCAAAAGACATTTTACTCCGAACAGATGCAAAAGTACAATGACCAAGTTTTCTCAAAGTGGGTATGGACCATCTGAAAAATGCTTCTGCCTAGTAATTAGTTTTCCAAAGTCTGATTTGTTCTAAGCCAGGCTCACATCACAGGGGAAGTTGCTTGTTGACTCACAGAACATAGTGTTGGAAGAAATTTATTAAGTGATAAATTAATCCCAAGCAAAACTAAAAGGGCTTTATTATATTAAAGATAACTGTCAAAGTTAAGAACATCTAAATGTAAAAGCTAACAGGTGTGCTAAGTCACAGTGACTTTTGGGGAGTAACTTATTGGGAGACCCTCAGAACAGAAATTCTTTTCCAAGAATCTACCATCCTATGGATTTAGCCCGTGTATCCCAAGAGGCCTACAGACAAGTGGGAATCTCCCTTCTAGGAGACACATTGAGGTGAGGAAGGAGGGATTTGGCTTTCAGAAATGTAATGAGACCCTCTCTATCAGTGCCTCCCCATGGTGGTATCCCCCCATTTTACCTAAGAACACACCTTGGGGAGCACTTCCATCATTCGTATGGGCACAGCCTTGGGGTCAGTACCAATCACTTCCACAATAGCATCCCAGGCAGCTTTATCAACATGCTGGCTTTGATTCTTATGAGGCTGGGTACTTGGTAGATTAACAATCTGTAAAGTGGTTGATATGGAAATTTGGGAGAGAGAAGGGAAAAATGGATTAGAAACCCAAACTGACTGACTTCATATCTACTATGTACCAAGCACTGTAAGAGATTTAAATGTAGAGAGTGAAATGTGTCAAAATTCTAGTGTGCCATCAAGCCATTTATACTCTCCCAAGAATCCAGTAGGTACCTGAATGGTTTAATGTAAGCTGCTGGGGGTGTGTGCTACAGAGCAGCAGCCAGAGAGTGGGACCAGGTAGGCATTTTCACCCAGGCTCTAAGTAGGCGGGCGACTGAGCCACTTGCTTACTCTTGACCTCAGTTTCATCATCTGTAAAAGAAACTGGTTGTATTGGGTTATTTCCAAGCATCCTTTTCAGATGGAACTTCTTGGAGGATTCTTCCTTTCAGCGTGGAGTTCTTTAAAAATTTCATGTATAGATAAATGTGAAAGTGTCAAACCTTTATTCAAAAAACATTAGTGTGTGCTTTCAGCATGTCAAGGGCTATGCCCATGGAGGTGAAATGAGTAACATAGAGGGGTTAACAATGATTTGGAAACTTATATTCTGGTTTAACATATAACAAATAGTGGAGTCTGTGCAGAGAAACGGAGGAACGTAAGAGAGTGTGGGGCGGAGGTGGTGAGGAAGAAAACATGAGACGAAGAGGTGACTTAATGTAAATTAAAATTCAAGAAAAATAAATTTTGTGTCTATATAGATATTTATTTCTATTATTGTAATCTTTAATATTATCAGTTGAAGACATTGTTATTTTTCTGAAATAATGTATTTGTAGTAGAGTCCTTAGTAAATATAATGGTAAAGAGAGCAAAAGTTTTCTGGTGGGTTGATGAAGACACTGTACAGGCACAGCGAATTAAAACAGTGAACTGGAAACCCCTAGGAATTGTAGAAAGCAGGAGTCCTTCAAGAGCCTGGACAGCAGCCCCCTATGCAAGCAGCCATTGGGTACGAGCTAGCAAGGGTCACAGCCTGTGACAGCTTGAACGCTGATGCAATGTGGTGTCCAGGGAAATACCCTCGATGTCTGGGAACCTCACGTAATGGCTCAGAACTTGCAGAGACAACTGGTGTGAATTAAGGCAAGTTTCTTACTTTGGAGCCCTCAGTTCCCTTATCTTTAATACCAATACTGTTAGAATATTTCTAGGATGCTTTTCTCCTTTCCAATTTCCTTGCTTCACCCTGGCAAGACTAATGTGGACACAGCACATTAATTTGTTTTTATTCTGCCACCTCTCCCATCCTTTATTTCCACCACTTTCCTTTATAGCTTGCCTTTACCCAGCTGTCCAAATTTACATAATTTCACCTCCAAAATACTCTCATTTCCAAACAAAAACAAGACAAGGCCCTGGGTTTTGGAGAATTTCTCCCCAGGAGAAGGGTTGCTCCCCAGCAAAGGTCACCTGTTCTGCCCCATTTCTCTCCTGGGAGGCTGACAGGCTTCTCCATGGTGGTAGCACTTCCTTCAGACAGTAGAGGGACATCTCTGTGTTCACTGTTGCTGGGGACTTAAATGTTACCCCGGTGTCTTCTTCCTAAGTGCCAATCACTGTCTGAGATTTTCTATATCATTTCACTTTTCTCCTCAACTCCAATTCTGGTGTCTTTAGAGAATAACTGAAAACATGTTGATAAGTTAGTTGGAGGAATCACCAGAAAAAAAAATTTCGGTGCATTGGTCATCCATTGAGCATCTGTTCTGAGACCTTTTCCTGATGGTATCAAGTTGTTGTCTCATCCTAGTGGTGGGATTCAATGCAATTCAGTTACCTGAATCCAGACACTGGTGGGTCCTACACAAGCCAGAGCATTCCTGCCGGTGTCTCCTCTGGGTGAGGCTTATGTACGTAACCGCTCAAACGTGGAGAATAGAGGGCAGGATTTGTAGTTCTGGGTAACACTAAAAATGACACGACACAAAACACAGAAATCAATTAAGCAATTTGTAATTCTTAATATACTAAGGCATAAATACCCCAATATTTGAAAATTTAATTCCTTTCATGGATGCTTTATACATTTATTAGCATATAGTATAGAAGTATGGAAGTAATATCCTCAGCCAATATACCAGTAAGGAAGGTTTTCCCTTCCTTCCTTCCCTCCTCCCTCCCTCCTTCTCTTCCTTTTATTTTATTTTATTTTTTTGGTGAAAAGTTAAAAAAATTAAGTTAGATAATGAGATTCTGATGGCATTTTGTCTTGTGAAATTTTGAGTAATTTTT